TGGCTAGCTGTGGGGTCAAAAATGGCAGGTTGCGTGGTGGAGTCTGGAGAGTTTGGTGGAGTTTAGGGAAGGGAGGAACCTTGGTGTGGTATAATGCCATAGGATCCACCTTCTAAAGCGGCCATTTTCTCCAGGGGAACTGATCTCTGCAGCCTGGAGATGCACTGTAATTCCAGGAGATCTCTAGGCCCCTCCTGGAGGTGGGTGATGCTTTTTCTCCCCTTTTTAGTCTGTGGGGTTGGGGAGGCAAGCAGGCAGGCATGCTACTAAGCAATATCTGTGGGCTAGGAAATCCTGTAAAATTATTAGTAAAGGTAAAGGTTTCCCTTGCTCGAAAGCCAGTCGAATCCGACTCTAGGGTTGCGGTGCTCATCTCCGTTTCCAAGCCGAAGAGCCAGCGCTGTCCGAAGACGTTTCCGTGGTCATGTGGCCGGCGTGACTAAACACCAAGGCGCACAGAACGCTGTTACCTAAAATTATTAGGGAGACATATATGTGTAACTGAGTCCAGTGGCACCTTTAAGACCAACAAAGTTTTATTCAACGTGTACGCTTCCGTGTGCAAAGCACACTTCTTCAGACAAGTGGAATATGGTCTCCTTAAGGGGAAAAGAGGGTGGGGGCAGCCGTTAGGAGGGGCCATTCAGAGCCAAGGTGCAGAGGCAGAGCTGAAATGGGATCAGGTGGCCGGTAAGGTCAATCATTATGGAGCTGCGGTGGCTCAAGTGGTTAAGACGCTGAACTGCAGGCTGTGGAAGGTCGGTTGTTCAGCAGTTCGAGACCCGAGTCTGCCGCATGACGGAGTGAGCTCCCGTCTCTAGTTCCAGCTCCTGCCAACCTAGCAGTTCGAAAGCAAGAAATTGCAAGTAGCTAAATAGGTACCACTTTGGTGGGAAGGTCACAGCGTTCCGTGCGCCTTGGTGTTTAGTCATGCCGGCCACATGACCACGGAAACGTCTTCGGACAGTGCTGGCTCTTCGGCTTTGAAACGGAGATGAGCACCGCAACCCTAGAGTCGGATTCGACTGGCTTTCGAGCAAGGGAACCTTTAAGATCAATGGAGAGCAGCAAATCAGCACGTAAATGCAAGATTTAAGAAAGATATGTGGGAATTAAGCTAAGAGTCCAGCAGTACCCCCAAGACAAACCAAGCTGACCCTGTGTGCACGCTGTTTTCCACCCTTCCTTTCATGTGTGAAGAAGAGGTTCTGCTCCAATGTAGTGGTTGTGACTACAGCCCCAAGAGTTCTTCGAGATTATTTGACATGGAATGTGTTCAGTATAATCTTATATGTGTGGCATCAGGAAATCTAGTACTCCTGTCCTTCCGCGTGCTGTCAGATTCCTCTGTGGGTGGGGAAGGTTGACCCTTTTTGACCTCTTGTAAATGATCAGCTTGCATTAAATGTGGGCTTTGTCTGCCTGTCCCTTTAGCGTTAGACCCCCATCTCTTGAGGTATGTATTATGAATGAGGATCCCGATAGGGTTACATCTTGAATTATTCTGCACAAAAGGTAAAACCCATCATTAAGAATTCTATGCATCATTTACGTGAGCCTCCAGATCATCTTTCACGAGTGACTTTTTTTGTGTGTGGGAGTGAAGGTGTGGGGAGGAATGAGAACTACAAAGGGGTTGCTTTGAAGTTAAGCGCCGCGGCCTCTTACGTTACAGCTTCACCTGAGCCACCCCCATTAGCGGCAACAATTATGAAGATGAGTTTTATCGAGTGACCTCTTGACCAGGCTCCCTTTACTGTGCCACCTTGCATTTGTGTGTCTAAGATAACGAGGTTTCTAAAATGACAGAAGGTAACTCTGACCACTTCTGCACATGTCTGAAGGTCCGAGAGATACTTTATGGTATCAGCTTTTAACTTGGGTCATAGTTTCACTTTTGTAGGTGAGGGGAGAGCCAGGTTGGTGTCGTGGTTAAAAGCTAGAGCCACAGGAACTGTGTAAAGTGCGCTCAATGTTTCTTTAACGATAGCAATAATGTTATAAATATGAAAATTACAAAAGTGATGCTAATACATTCAGATTGTAAATCCAGTTACATAAGATAGAAGATAACAACGACGGCGGGACAGTGGTCTCCGGAATGTGATGCCGTTTCGACAAACGTCTTCTTCTGACCAAGAATCTATAAGTAGATGATGTGTGGAAAATTGCACTTCAATAGAAAAGCTACCCGATTCACTTGGAGTTCAATAACAGTTTCACCTATTTCATTGCACAAGTAATGGAGAAAATTTCTCTCAGACGAAATAAGCTTTATTGGTCAGAAGAAGACGTTTGTCGAAACGGCATCACATTCCGGAGACCACCGTCCCACCGTCGTTGTTATCTTCTGTCTTATGTAACTGGATTTACAATTTGAATGTATTAGTATCACTTTTGTAATTTTCATATTTATATCATTATTGCTATTGTTAAAGAAACATTGAGCGCACTTTACACAGTTCCTGTGGCTCTGTCTTTTCATGTCTACGGACTGTGACCATATTTGTCTTTGTAGTGGTTAAAAGCGATAGACTCTAATCTGGAGAACCGAGTTCAATTCCCCACTCCTCCATTTGAAGCCAGCTGGGTGGCCTTGGGTCAGTCACAGTTCTCTCAGCTCCCCTCCCCCCAATAAACCTAGCTTGCCACAGAAAGAGCTAGAGTTTCAGGCTGCCAGACAATCTTTGGATCTCCTGGCTATACTGCACCCACTGCCGTACGATAATTAATTAATTTTGTAGGTGAGGGCTGAGTCCGGTTGATGCCATGCTATAATATACAAGCATTAAGGTCTACATTTTTCCCAGGGTATTGTCATATAAACAAGAAGGATAAGAAAATAAGCAGCCAGGTGGGGCCATGGTAAAATCTAAAAACAAGCAAAAGTGTACCTGCACACGAAAGCTTATACTTTGAATAAAACTTTGTTGTTCTTAAAGGTGCCACTGGACTCAAACTTTGTCCAGTATGATACTGTTTGCTAGGACCAGCAAAGTAATACATTGTGCAAGCTTTCAGGATCTACAGAACTTTTCATCAGGCATGATGTTAAACAGAAGGAAATGGGGAAACAGATTGTTCAAGCCTTTTTGTCTGCAGCCGCTGTGGGATGCTTAGCTGACTTCTGTGAACACAGGGCGTGGCTCACTGATAACAGATTGCACCCCAGTGTGCTGGACAACTAGGAAGCATGCATAATAAGCCCTGTTGTTTTAGCTGGGTTTAATAAACGATATTGCTTGGGTCTTGTTTGGGGACAGATGAGGTACACAGTGTAGATGCCTGCAGTCGCACAGAGAAGAAACATTTGCTAACAAGCAGGGGTCATTTCGTAGAAAAAGAGGTGCAGGAGCTCACTAGCATAACTCATTAGCATGACTTATTTGCATATGCCACACCCCCTGACATCACCGGCAGTGTGTCAGAAGGCAACACCCACCGCTCAGGCTCCACCGAACTGTTTTGGATTGCCAGCTATTGGAGGGGGGGGGACGTGTAGATCTGTCCTCGCAGAGGAGGGAGAGCTTGTACCTGAATAAAACTTGGTCTTAAAGGTGCCACTGGACTGTTTTGGATTGCTAGCTATTGGGGGGGGGGAATGTACAGATCTGCCCTCGCAGAGGAGAGAGAGCTTGTACCTGAATAAAACTTGTCTTAAAGGTGCCACTGGACTGTTTTGGACTGGGGGGGGGGGCCCTCTGCAACTTACCTGGCTGCTTCTTGCTCTGACTGAGGGTTGCTGGGAGCAGGGGGCGGGGCTTGTTGCATGTGCCCGCCCCCTGGGCTCTTTACTGTCGGAGCTCCACTCCTGTGCGCTCCTGCAGGAAATGACCCCTGCTAACAAGCTAGGTGGATTTGCATAGCAAATCTTCCTCCCATGGTGTGTGCGTTTAAAATGCTAGCCAGTATCCCCTACCCTGTGAGTGTACCAGTGCTGCTGTGTTGTAGGGGGCAAAAAGAGACAGAGATGGAAGGACAGAAGACAGAGATGAAGAACAGTAACAGAGGAAAAGGGGTAGGGGAGGAGGAGTTACGTAGGAGCCCCACCTTGCAGATTGGGTTTGAACCTGGGGCTTGAGACAAGACTACTGGCTTCCATCCCAGGTATCTTTAATTGTGCTTATTCTCATTTTTTTTAAAAAAGCAGCTGTGCAGACAAGCATCAAGCAGGACAGGTTTTATCTAAGAGAGGAGTCTATCTCTTATGACGATGAGACATCAAGAATATGAAGAACGGCATTTGGGACAGGCAGGGCAAAGTCTGCACTGGGCAAATATACAGCAGAATGAAGTGGCGTGATCTAGAATTTCCCAGTGCCAGAACTGGAGGTGTGTGGAATTCTAGTCATGTACCTGTTCACACAGTCCTTTTTCAATGCCATTGCTTGCAAGTTTTATGTAGGAATGGTCAAGTTTTGTGAATTACATATTACTTCCAGATATCAACAAAGTGATGTACACAGTTCTCCGCTAAGCACTGTTTGCTGGCCTCTCATTAGAAATAACATTTTCTGTCCTTTGAGGACTTCATGGTTGAAATGGATCCAGTTATCCTGTTTTATCTTCACCAACCAGACAGGGTAGAGAAGGCTGAGAAACAGTTAACTTGCACAAGGCCACAAAGCGGGGATTTGAACCCGAGCACCCTTCCAGTCCCAGCCCAACATTCTGTCCATTAAACCTAGTTTTTCTTAGATGTGTGCAAGTTCTACAATCTCTTTTTTTTTCCCTTTCAGAACTCTTCAGTCATTTACCGTGTGCTACCAAGGTAGACCACCTCAATATATCCTGTACTCGCTTGAGAGTAAGTATCGCTGAGATTTCTGCCTAAAATCAAGCCTGCTTAATTTAAATCCGAAATATATGCATCCTATCCAGTGGAGAAGAGTGGGGAGGAAATTAATCAACTTTTCCCACTAAGCGTAGGTACCTGCAGCAACATTATGGGAGCATTTGAGGAACAGGTATTCCAGCGGCAGCCCTGCTTAGACTACAGTTTAAAGTGCTTTGCCAATAATCAGAACGCTCATGAAAAAGACCATCATGAAAAAAATCCACATGAAGAACCTGTCCATCACTTTTGCCACTTTTTTCCACTCCACTCCTTTTGCGTGGTTGGCTTTGTGGCGCCTTACGCAATTTGCAATGTATTCAATATTCTTGATCAGTATTCTGTAACATGAGCAGCAGCTGACAGTATCCTTTGCATTTTCACAAGGGACTCTGTATCCATAGTTCACATCCCTGGACAGTTTCTTTCTCAGGTCACTGCCGTTGCTTTTGACCTTAGCAAGAGATCTCCTTCCCCCTTCGTATGTTTCTTCCTGTCTTGGACACGTATCGGCTTTTCTCAGCTTTGAGCCGTGGCCTTCCGCTCGTTGCAAACCTGTACAGTTTTCGCCCACGTCGTAAACAAAGAAGATCTTTGACATGTAGTCCAAAATAACCACCCTTGCCCATTGCGGGACAGGTTTGGCTCCTGATCCACAGTAGTGAATATTCATTATAATGATGGTCAACGCTGTGGATGCTGTGATCATTGTCATAGTAGCAATGTAATATTTACCTGTAATGTTAAAAAAATTTTTTTACAACACCTCCTAAGATTAGTAAGCAGAAATTGACTTTGTGAAGCTGTTTGGAAGCCAGCGTGGTATAGAGATTGAAGTCTTGGCCTAGAGGCAAAACTATGTGATATATTATTTAGAACAGTGCAGCTGCAGGGATTGCTGTGTGCAGCATGGGAAAAAAGCCCTCCTCCCCCTGTACGGCAGTCCTGATCCAAATTGGGTCCAGCAGACTTTTAAAATGATGTTCCCCACAGCTGCTGTGTAACTGCAAGGGAAAGGTCAGGTCTGGGTTTACAAAATACATATGTAGCCTGGCCCGTGTGCTGGATGGCATGGGCACTACATAGTTGATTATAAGGTATTTCGTAGGGTTTCTACTTTGTTATTGCTCAAGTGAAGGAAGAGGAGATTGGATTTATACCCCCCTTCACTACCTGAAGGAGTCTCAGTCTCCGCTTACAATCCCTTTCCCCTCCCCACAGCAGACACCCTGTGATGTAGGTGGGGCTGGGAGCTCTTTCGAGAACTGCTCCTGAGAGAACAGCTCTGAAAGAACTTGTGACTGACCCAAGGCCACACCAGCAGCTGCATCTGGAGGAATGGGGAATCAAACCCGGTTCTCCCAGATTAGAGTCCACGCTTCTAACCACTACACTACTAACCACTAGTAGAAGAAGAAGAAGAGATTGGATTTATACCCCCCCCTTCACTACCCAAAGGAGTCTCAGAGCGGCTTACAAACTCCTTCCCCTCCCCCTCCCCACAGCAGATACCCTGTGAGGTAGGTGGGGCTGAGAGAGCTCTGACAGAAACTGCTTTTTTTCAAGAACAGCTCTTATCAGAACTACGGCTTTCCCAAGGTCATCCAGCCAGGTGCAAGTGGAGGAGTGGGGAATCAAACCCGGTTCTCCCAGATTAGAGTCCTTGCACTTAACCACTACACCAAACTGGCTCTCTAGTACTGTGCTGGAAGAGTGCCTTCTCAGTGGGTCAGTCCAGATGTTCTCAGGAGGTCCTGAGTGATGGCAGCTTTATCACCAGGGTAATTTCTAGAGAACCCTTGGTCTAAGGGAGTTTCCCAGCAAGGGAAGATACTTTCCTTTCCTGCTGTAACAATTGGCCAGAGTGGTGCAGTGGTCAAAGTGTCGGACTAGGATCTGGGAAACGCAAGTAAGCCGCTTTGGGTGCTCATTAGGGAAGAGAGGTGGGATAAAAATCAAAGCCTAAATAATATGGTTCTGAATCCTCACTCTGCCATGGAAGCTGGCTTGGGTCATTCACTCTTTCTCAGTCTAACCTACCTTGGAGTGGGGCTGTTACAAGAAAAAAAAATAGAGGGGGGGGGGCGTGAATGACACTAAAGGCATCTTTGGTTCCCATTGAGGAGACAAACATGGTATACGTATCTGAATAAATGGCAGTGATCCAAATACAAAGGCAAATCAGAGGTTTTCAGGATGGCATTCAACTAGGTCGCCATTAGGAATCCACTGCACATTGATCATTAACATTTTGCAGACATTAATAAGGTGGCTTTTCAAATGGAACTATGTTATTCTTTTAAGCACAGAGAAAGGCTCCATTATTGACTGTCGCTTGCAGAGTGTAGGAAATGTCTCGGGATGTCACACCAAAGATATCTCCAGCTCTCTGTCTCTGGAAATGCTCCACACAGAGTGAGATGGAGAAAGCAGTCCCTGTCATTTGTCCCCAAGATTTGTTCTACCTCTGAATGTGATGGACAATCTGTTGGCGGCTTTTATAGCCAATAGCTATTGACACCCAGAATGCACCCCATTCTGCAGCCTACTGGCCATCTTGTGGTGCTTGACAAAAGCCATCAACAAGCAAAGGATAATCTGGAAAAACTAAATTATAGGGCGGACCTCTGGCGTTCAGGTAATAAAATGTGCCACACCAGAATAGTGCATGGCCTTGCACTGAACAGCTGGGAACAACCAGAACATCATGCCCTAGTTGCTGAGAACAGCAAACAAGATGACCCAGAAGCAATGCTCCCTCTAAGCTGTAGAGTCTTGTGAGCAAAAATTCTGCTTTGTGAGCTACTGGCATTAAAGCTGTGAGTGAGCGATTTGGCTGCCGCATAAGTGAGTTTGCCTCTGGAGCCCCATCCTTCCTGAGCTAAGACGAAAATGTGTGATCTGGAGGCTAAAAAACTGTGAAGTAGCTCACACCGACTCAGCTTAGAGGGAACACTGCCCAGAAGTCTTTATTAGGGTCCTGATCCTCTCTGGCCTATGGCCATTAAAAAGGATTCTTTGCTGGTGTGACTGGTCTTCCCAGTAGTCCCCTCTTTAGGGCACAGTTGGATGGTGGCAGTTGAGCTGAAGGCCCTCAGGTTTCCAGTCCACTATACAGCAGCGATACTTGCTGTACCATGGGCTTCGTTAAGGCAGCTAAAAGACAAAAGGACTGGGAAGAAGGGTACACTGCCCGTATTCATTTTCTTGGTACCAAAAGAGGCACTGCCACCACCCAGCCTGATTAAATAGCGCCTGGCATTCCTAAGTATCCATCGTATGGCAAACTTCTGAGAACCTATGGGTTTGCTTGCAGTATCTCTCTTCGTGTCTGCATTAAAGATTCCCAATACCTTAGTTCAAATACCCAGGGTGGGCAGAAGAAATTAACTGCAGTGTGCTGGCTTGTTTCCTAGCAGACGGGATCGCCACCCGTCACCTTTACAGTGCTCAGTGGCTCTACTGCTGTTCGTAAACCGTTTACAAAGATGCAAGTACCTACCGATCAGTGGTACATTTTCGGAGGGAGGCATGCTCTCCGCAACCATTAGCTGGAACACGGTTAGGGCCAGCAGAACAGTGACGCCAAGAGAAACTTTTTCTCCTGAGTCTGCCGGTAGGTAGAATCCCAGCGGGGCCAGGAAAGAGATCAAGAGGCAAGGAAGGAGGAGATTAAATATGTAGAAAGATGATTTCCTTTTCAAAATAAGGGTGAACGTAACATCTGGATAAGGCTCTGAGCAGCAGCCGTACGTGATCACGTTCTTAACAGCTGGCATGCCATGAATCTCCCACTCCACATCTTCTATGAAGTCCGAGAGGTCGCCACTGTCTAAGATATTGAATATATCCACCTGGTTACCATTATAGGTCCAGGAACCGAAGGTAAGATTGCACTCCTGGCTGTCAAAGGGGAAGTAAGAGACGTCCACCACACACGAGCTCTTTGTTATAGCTGGTGCGTCCCAAGTGATTTTCCCGTCATACCTCAATACGATGTTGGTGTTCACGGGCTCAGAGAAATCATCATCAGCCCTAAAAAAATAAATAAAATTACACAAAGAGGTGAGGTGGTCATGTGTAGTTGTCGTCCATAATATGTAAAGCAGTTTTTGGCGTCTGTTGTGATTTTAATGCAAAGGTAAGACCTACCTTAGGCAGATTACAAAGGCCTCTGCATTCCCATCCATGTGAACACATTATACCTGTGCCATTACTCCCGTCTAAACCCATCATTTTTTGGTGCTCTGTCAATCTATTACTGACTTCTGCCAGCAGGTGAAGAGTTTCTTATTTTGTCTGGGTCCCTTCTTCACCCAAAGAGTGATTCACACATGGAATTCACTGCCACAGGAGGTGGTGGCAGCTACAATCATGGACAGCTTCAAGAGGGAATTAGATAAACATATGGAGCAGAGGTCCATCAGTGGCTATTAGCCACAAGGTATAGATAGGGACTGTCAGTGGGTGCGTTCAGATGGGCCGTTTAAGCCGGCACAAACTGATCCGGAAGAAACGCGATCACACTCACCTCCTTACTGCGCAGCACATCACGATATGCCCGTTCACACTACCGACGCACAGCAGCGCGCGTTGACGTTTTTTTTTTAACGTTTTGCACATGCGCATAGGCAGCCATCCACAGAGTTGAGATCTTCGCGCAGGCGCAGAACACCTGCTGCAGCCTAAAACTAAGCATCTTTTTTTGTTTGTTTTACCAGCGCCAGGGTGAAACTTTGCCTAAGCGCACATCGAGGAGGCTAAAAAAAAAATGGCAGCCAAAAAGCAGAAGCCTCGGGCTTCCGAACGGAAGTGGCTCTACACCGGCGGAGAGCGATCAAACGGGGATAATGCGGCTAGAACCTGAGCACTCAGGATAGCACCACTTGGGGACCTAGTACCAGAATACACCAGTTTAAGGGGTGTTTGCAACGGTTAGGGACGGAAGGCAGATGTTGGCTGTGTGATCGCACGTAAGTACTCTGATTCTAACCGGCTCGTATACTGGCTCAAATGCCCCGTCTGAACGCACCCAGTCTGGGGCAAGTGATGCTTTGTATTCTTGGTGCTTGGGGGGGGCAATAGTGGGAGGGGCTTCTAGTGTCCTGGCCCCACTGGTGGACCTCCTGAGGGCACCTGGTATTTTTGGCCATTGTGTGACACAGACTGTTGGACTGGATGGGCCATTGGCCTGATCCAACATTGGCTTCTCTTATGCTCTTATGTTCTTAATTCCTTCCCTTTTTGCCCATGCTTTTAATTGGTGCCTGTTTTGAATTGATGTGTGTACTTAGTCGCTTTTAAATTGGTTTCATGTGTTTTTATACTACTGTACATAGTTGCCACCCACCTGGATGGTCCTGGTTATGCTGAAAGTTGGTCTGTAAATCTTCTACAGAAATAATTAACATTTGTTCATGCAGCAGAGATTTATTTGTAGTGTTAGAGGAGTAGCCATGTTGGTGTGGCAAAGCAAAATATAAGTCCACTGGCACTTAAAGACGAATAAAATGAATTCTAGCATGACCTTTCATCAGTTGGACCTCGCTTTGTCAGGTTCATAGGAGTGCACATTCACTCTGCCCTAACCAAGGCCAGGGCTTTTTCGGTGGCGGCTCCTACCTGGTGGAATGAGCTCCCGGTGGAGATCCGGGCCCTGCGGGACCTGGTGCAGTTCCGCAGGGCCTGCAAGACGGAGCTCTTCCGCCAGGCTTTCGAGTAGGAGCCGCCACCGTCGCCGCTATACCACCACTGTGGCTGATTTACCATCTACCTGGCCTTGGGTGAGGGCTGATGCTGCCCACAAGAGGACCATTACTCTGGCGTTCCTGTCTGCTATACCATCGGCCGCCAGTGAGGGACATTGACCACCTTGAACTTTTGAAATGAGTAGAGCACCATCTTAAACTGTATTTATTATGTTTTTAATTGTATTTATGTTTTACTCTGGCGTTGCCACTTGTTTGCCGCCCTGGGCCGCACGGGTAGGGCGGGATATAAATCCCAAAATAAATAAATAAATAAATAAATAATGTGTACGCTGTCCAGTGTACAGTTTGCATTCACAGTTCCTCACCTGGTTGAAGCAGGGGTGTTTTAAAACTCATCTGGGGAAGTACCAAAGAGGTGGGAAGTTAATTTAAGCATCTCCTGTCAAAATGCTCTCACTGTGTTTGCTGTAATGCAGAAGTTTCTGGGCTGCATCTGGTGAAAGCAGGGTTTCTGTACAGCAAAAAGAGCCAGTTTGGTGTAGTAATTAAGTGTGCGGACTCTAATCTGGGAGAGCCAGGTTTGATTCCCCACTCCTCCACTTGCAGCTGCTGGATGACCTTGGGCAAGCCATAGTTCTGACAAGAGCTGTTCTTGAAAAAGAGCAATTCTCGAAAGAGCTCTCTCAGCCCCACCTACCTCACAGGGTGTCTGTTGTGGGGAGGGGGAGGGAAAGGACTTTGTAAGCCGCTCTGAGACTCCTTCGGGTAGTGAAGGGCGGGGGTATAAATCCAATCTCCTCCTCCTCCTCCTCCTCCTCCTTCTTCTGTTGCCCCGAGTTCAGTGCTGTTGATGAGCAGATGTTTTTCATGCTTCCCAACAGCTGGTGATGCATTCCTGTACCTCCTAGGGTTTCCCTGACTCTTCTCCAGTCTTTCTCAGACCTACTTCACTCTGAAGTTATGAAAAAGATCGCGGCAAAGCCTGGATGCACACAGCGGCCATTTCCCCTCTGCGGCTGAGGGTTTTTCCTCTTTTTTAAAATCAGCAATCTAATAGCATTATATCGATACACCATTATTCCAGATTATGCTTCACATTAATGGTTTTTTTTTAAAGTCTTTAACCCCTTTCCTTGTGGAGATAACATGGGAAATTTCCATATAAGGCTCTAGCTCCAAAATGGAATAGAGGATTTATTTCAGAATGAAAGCCGGGAACATGGAAAACCTGGTGTAACAGTATATCGAGATAACACTATTAAATTCGCCGATTAAAAACAACCACCAGAGAGAGCTGCTGTATGGGAGTCCTGTCACCACCGCACTGTAGTAGCGGCAGCCACAGCAGAGGAACCACACAAGAAGAAGAGGAGGAGGAGATTGGACTACCCGAAGGAGTCTCAGAGCGGCTTACAAACTCCGTTCCCTTCCCCTCCCCACAACAGACACCCTGTGAGGTAGGTGGGGCTGAGAGAACTCTGACACAAACTGCTCTTCTTCAAGGACAGCTCTGACAGAACTATGGCTTGCCCAAGGTCATCCAGCAGCTGCAAGTGGAGGAGTGGGGAATCAAACCCAGTTCTCCCAGATTAGAGTCCGCGCACTTAACCACGACACCAAACTGTCCCTGTGCAGGAAACACCAGTCTTTGCTCTATGGCAGAAGTGTCCAGGTTGCACCTTGTGTGGGATACAGATTTTCTGGGATCTACAGATTCCCTGTTCCACTTAATGGGCTTTTGCTGTTCTTGTTTTTGTGAAGAGTTTTACTGGGAACTGTGCACAGTTGATCATTCTTTCAGCAGCCAGTGATCGTGTGACAGACAGTTGCCTTGCATCTCTTCCTTGGATCTTTTCTATAGGGATTCCATCGAATTCTCTCCAGGGCGGTTAAGAGCGGGGACACTAGATGGACAGAATTCTAGTGGCCCTGTTTACCCTCGGGGTTCTAGGGAGCCTGCTAAGTCATGTGATTTCTCAGTTTGAGTTGGGTGTGTGGATGGCACGGGGCACAGAGGAAACCTGGGAAACCTGTGGTTGTTCCCTGCAGTCCTGACTACCTCCCTGCTGAGCAATCAGTGTGAAAATTCAGGGTGTGATGCCACTCACATTGCTGTCCTCTAAAGGCTAATCAAATTGAAAACTTGGAATTCTAAGAGGGGGCCTGAGGCTCAGGGGTGGGGGGCAGGAAGTAGGCAGATAAGTGTCACGCCAATTTCTTGCTTGCGCATTCCAGCAGCGTACTTTTTCATCCCCACTCACTTGTTGTATAGGACAATGTCTGGCCTCCATACAAGGTTGCTGGGAATTCGGATAGAGTCTAGCCCGTCATATTTATCCTTGTCCCACTTCAGATAGGCATCGTGCCAAGTCTGTCGAATCCATAAGTAGGCTGTTAAAATCTGGTTCCTTTCGTCCTGTAAAATGACAGCACATCTAAATGCATCTGTAACTAGCACAGATTCTTCACCCCACCCCACCCCAAACTTGATGTACTTCTAAAAGTCAGTTCACACGTCAGTGGAGAAGAAGAGATTGGATTTATACCCCGCCCTTCTGTTGGGTATTACAAGTTGAAAACACTCAGTATATCTGGGGTTAAATGTTTATGTTACTCACAGGAAGTCACATGTTTTTCATGTAACCAATGTTCTTTAGCTGTAGAAAGCCCGGGAATTTCCTCCCTGATCTAGGAATTTGATTGGGACTAAAGTGTCAAGGTGTATTACCATTTTATGGCTTCTCTTCCCGTCTTTGTTTGGTGTTCTGAAGAAGAAGAGCAGCCATAACCTCTCTCTTCTAGTTTTTTCTTTGTAGAGTAAGGATGTAGCCGATCATGCTCTGTTGTTATTTTCATCCCAGTTACCCTTCCCATGCTAGAATTTAGTAAAAACTTTATATTTTAATCACACATGGACTCTCAGTCTGAATTATTTTACTCTGGCACTGCTGGACTATATTATCTCTGCTAAATACCATTTTTTCAATATCTCACTATCACCCAACACCTTCACTACCCAAAGGTGTCTCAGAGTGGCTTACAATCTCCTTTCCCTTCCCCTCCCCACAACAGACACCCTGTGAGGTAGGTGGGGCTGAGAGTGCTCTTAAAAGAAACTGCTCTTTTTCAAGGACAGCTCTTATCAGAACTACGGCTTGCCCAAGGTCATCCAGCCAGGTGCAAGTGGAGGAGTGGGGAATCAAACCCGGTTCTCCCAGATTAGAGTCTGCGCACTCAACCATGACACCAAACTGGACAGGGAGAGCTTGTCCACAGATACACTGTGACATGGTTAGCTCAGCGCCAATGGGATTAAGAGGTGTGTCTGGCAAATTATGTGGAGTCAGACAGTAGTCTTGCCATGTGTCTATACGAACACACATGTAGCTGCCTTGTACTGAATCAGACCCTTGGTTCATGAAGTTTAGTATTGTCTACTCAGACTGGCAGTGGCTCGCCGGGATCTCAGGCAGAGGCCTTTCGCATCACCTCCTACCTGGCTGTTTTAACTGGAGATGCCATGGATTGAGCCTGGGGCCCTCTGCATGCCAAGCAGATGCTCTGCCACTGAACCACGGCTCCAAACCACGGAGAGAGTTGTGGCAATCCCATTTCCTAGCACAGGGTAACTGTACAAAACGTGCCTCAAGCCACATGCTATTTCCAAGTACATGGCATCTGCGTGGTTTCCTAAAATGTGTTTACTAGTTGAGATGCAATAGTTCCTCCAGTGTCTGCTGTGTTCAGTGTCTGCAACTAATTCAATGTCCGCTATCCCCAGTTTTAAATTATCTCGGGGAGCAGGGCTTTGAAAGTCCTCAGACGGAGACTGTGATGAACTACCAGGAGCCAGGCTAGGTGCTACAGACCTGCCATTAACCGGTCTCAGCCAACGCAAGATATTTACATCCCTTATGATGCGGGGGGGGGGGGAGAGCAGTGTTCTCTCTAAGCTGAGTTAGTGTGAGCTAGCTCACAATTTTTTAGCCTCCGGCTCGCACGTTTTTGTCTCAGCTCAGGAATGATGGGGCTCCAGTGCAAACTAATTTATGCAGCAGCCAAATTGCTCACTCACAGCTTTAATGCCAGTAGCTCACAAAGCAGAATTTTGGCTCACAAGACTCCACAGCTTAGAGGGAACTCAGGTGGGGAGTATTTATACCCTGCCATTCTTCCCAGTGGGGACCCAAAGTGACATACAGCATGGTTCTTGAGAGATAGTTTGGTGTAGTGGTTAGGAGCGCGGACTCTAATCTGGGGGAACCGGGTTTGATTCCCCACTTCTGCACATGCAGCTGCTGGTGTGACCTCAGGTCAGTCACAAGTTCTTTCAGAGTTGTTCTCTTGGGCAGTTCTCGAGAGAGAGAGAGCTCTCTCAGTCCCACCTACCTCACAGGGTGTCTGTTCTGGGGAGGGAAAGGGGTCGTAAGCGGCTCTGAGACTCCTTCGGGTAGTGAAGGGTGAGACATAAGTCCAATCTCCTCTTCCTCCTCCTCATCTTCCCTCCTTAGTTTTACCGTCACAACCACCCTGTGACATAGATTAGGGCTGAGAGTGTGTGATTGGCCCAAGATCACCTGGACAGCTTCCATAGCAGAGTGTGGATTCAAATCAGGGTCTCCTAGACCCTAATCTGACGTTTTAACCACTACATCACAGTGGGTCTCTGTTCATTTCCCCAATGCCACCACATCCCTTCATGTCAAGTCCCATCCGATTTCTCAAGGTCCCCTGACTTTCAAAAATAGTGGGGGGTGTACAGGTGGGTTAGAAGAAAGGGAAAACTACATTTAACTGCCTTTATCTTTTGTTGTCCAGATTTTAAATTATAACCAAGGCTGCGGTCACACGTAACAGAAGCCACACAAGTGAGACGGAAAACAGCCGGAGTTTCCGGGCGCGATCTCACCAGCACATCTGGGAAGCGTAGCACTCCCGTGGCTCAACCGAGGCTTCCAGCCGAAACTGCGTGACAAAAAACTAGTACCTTGGAGGTACTAGTTTCCGGAAACTGCGGGGCAAGGGTGGGCGTCTGATCGCGTTTCCGGTGGCATCCGGCGCCCGCCCATGTCCCCTTGCAAATAAGGTGTGTTTTTTTTGTCCAAGTCTCTGTGGATGCGCATGCGCACCCAACGGAGCATGCGCATTTGTCATGTACACAAAAATAAAAAACAGTTTGCCGCGGCGCGCGCTTCTTCGTTGCGCGCCGGCTTGTCCTGTGATCGGCACCTCTCCCTTGCCATGGAACCTCCACGGTACCTCCACAGGAGGTCTGATCGTGTAACTGCGCAGTAGTTTGCCCCAGGGCAAACAGCCACGCTTCTCCTCTGCAGTTTCCTGACCGTGTGACCGGAACAGCAAAACAAAACAACTGTGAGCTGAAATACCCGCAAGTATAAATATACAAAAAGAGACTTCAACCTAGAGGTGCATATTAAAACTTAGGAGACCTAGCCCATAAGTGAGTATATACTGGCGGCTTTATGGTCCATATATTATGCTATATATTTATATTCTTTATTCTAAGGAGTTACTCTCTTTTACAGAGAAGTTGAATAATATCATCCTGTTAAGAAACTGGTATGAGTCTTCCTATGTTGGTAAGATACATGAGACTCTGTGTAACAGTGATTATATATTGTTATTAAGCATCATTGTTTAGAAGCTATATTGTTATAAAGCATTGCTGTATTTTATACTTTTACAATTTTGTACTTCTATAGTTCTTTGTTCCTGGATTGTATGGATTTTTCATTCCCATATGTAATATTTGTTACCGATATTGCTAATTATATGCTTCTTTTCACTTTACTGAAGTCTCTTTTTGTACATTTATACTTGCGGGTATTTCAGCTCACAGTTGTTTTGTTTTGCTGTTCCTGGTCAGATTTTAAATTATGACAAAGAAACTCTCGTTACATAATAATAGACGATTCTTATTTATCCGAGGAAACACTAGGTAAAATATTGGGGAGAGAGAATTGCATAACTTAAGTGAAAGAACGCCTGGTCTCTTCAAGTAAAGCGTGAACCGTGAATAACAAAGGCAGAAACTTTTTTTTTTTAAAGCTGGCAAATGAAACCTGAAGCTTGCCCACCAGTATAATCTGTACTTATGCTTACCATATCTTTAATTTGGGAGAGGGTGATCTGAAGGGTGACATTCAGTACTGTGTCTGTATCTTCCACTGGTCTAAGAGCATTTGAATAGTCTTCAAAAAGTTCATTAAAGAGCATCTGGGCATATTTCCCTTGTGCTGCATGAGCACCTGTGGGGGGGAAAGAAACAGATCTGCTCCACTTATATATGTATTATCGTTTACATTAGTTATATCCCTGACCCAGTATACAAATCTGGACTTCCTTGCCAGCCAAATCACAGTAAACGAAATGCTGAATATTGTGTTGACCGGATGGCATCGTGAGATGTTAAAAATCCTTGCGACAGAATAGCCCAGGAACAAATAAAAATACTTTTGATGGAAGTACGCCATGCATAAATACTGAGCATTTAACATAACGGTAGGCTACTTCATATTGCAAACCCCTTTCATCCTCATGGCTCCCAAACCGAGGGGTCGCAGCCAATGCTCCCTCTAAGCTGTGGAGTCTTGTGAGCAAAAAATCTACTTTGTGAGCTACTGGCATTAAAGTTGTGAGTGAGCGATTTGGCTGCTGCCTAAATTAGTTTGCTCTGGAACCATCCTTCCTGAGCCAAGACAAAAATATATGAGCTGGAGGCTAAAAAACCATGAGCTAGCTCACACTAACTCAGCTTAGAGGGAACACTGGTTGCAGCAACTGCTGTTGTCTAAGAAGAACGGGATCTGAGTATTCTCTGTCCCCCAAAACGTTTGGCTCCCGTGGTTCTTCCAGCCATTTTAATTAAACCTTTTGTTTCTTTCAGTGGGACTGCAGGGGCCAAGAGATCCAGTCGCCCCCCACAAAGCATGCTATTGAGAAAACCTTACCGCAAATCAACCATGCCGAGAAAACCAAGCGGAGGCAGCAGATGTGGGTGCCCGAGCCAGCTTTCATTGTGAGAAAACGTTCCAGCGTCTCTCCTCTGTGCCCCAACTGGATTGTGCTAAGAAGCTGCACCCTCTTGATCTGTCAAGCAGAGCCCTTACGTAACTGGTAACCTGAGTCACTGAGTGACAAGACGAAGGACTATCACAAGGAAGCTATTCTGCTACGATGGTAAAGCAAGAACAAGGAAAGCTGCAGGCAAATGCCATTAAACCCTGTGCTGCCACCTTTTAAAAACTCCTAGTTTTAGTAGAACTCCTCTGACTCAGTAAAGCTGTTACTGAAAAATGAATTAGGGAAGAGGTCTAGATCGGCAGTTCGAGACCCGAGTGCCGTGTGATGGAGTGAACTCCCATCTCTGGCCCCAGCTCCTGCCAACCTAGCAGTGCGAAAGCAAGAAACTGCAAGTAGATAAATAGGTACCGCTTTGGTGGGAAGGTAACAGCGTTCTGTGCACCTCGGCATTTAGTCATGCCGGCCACATGACCACGGAAATTTCTTCGGACAGTGCTGGCTCTTCGGCTTTGAAACGAAGATGAGCACCACCCCCTAGAGTCGGATTCAGCTGGCTTTCGAGCAAGGAGAACCCTTACCTTATACATGGAATCGCCCCCAAATCTCCAGAAATCTCCCAACCTGGAGCTGGCAACTCTAATTTGGAAGGGTGTAACTGTGGCTCAGAGGATAAGACGCTGAGCTGCAGACTGGAAGGTCTGTAAATCGGCAGTTCAAGACCCGAGTGCCGCGTGACGGAGTGAGCTCTCGTCTCTGGCCCCAGCTCCTGCCAACCTAGCACTTCGAAAGCAAGAAATTGCAATCAGATAAATACGTACCACTCTGGTGGGAAGGTAACAGTGTTCCGTGCGCCTCGGCGTCTAGTCATGCCGGCCACATGACTGCGGAGATGTCTTCAGACAGCACTGGCTCTTCGGCTTGGAAACGGAGATGAGCACCGCCCCCTAGAGTCGAATTCGACTGGCTTTCAAGGAAGGGAAACCTTTACCTTATGCATGGAATCACCTCAGATAGCTAAAGGTTTATAGGGTAGAGGCTATGGAGTAGCATGTACAAAATTATCAGCACCCTTCTAAACTGCCATTCCCATGACCCTTTGAGGGAGGACAGTAAAGCATAAAAGCAGACAGAGGTTTGTATTAGATACACCCCAAGAGCTACCTTTGGTATGTACTTCTCAAACACTGGGCATTTTCACACAGTGACATCCTGCAACTTGCAGCCGATCACAGTGCAGGAAAAGTTCTCTAGGGGGCGGGGCTTCTGTCTCAAGCTCCAGTCTTTGGCCCTGCCTCAAGGCAGATAGAGGTCATCAGTTGTGCTCCGTTCGGGTGCCACAATTTGTAATTATTTACTTATTTACTATTTCCTTTTCTTCTGTGTTCTATTCCTGTCTTTCTGTTTATTTGGGAGACTCCCTGGGAGTGGGAAGGACTTGGTCCCCCCCCCCCCCCAT